TATATACCAAACCAAAACCAGGCAAGGGTGAGGACAGCATACAGGCTGCAACTTACAGTAAGCTCAGCCTCAGAGATCAGGTCAGCCTTTAATTTCTAGCACTTATTTTATAAAAAGATTTAAGAATACACCAACCTGTATCCCCAGACCACAGAGAACTGGACTAGACCAGTCCCCTGGGGCTACATAAGTTACATGGCCAGCATTGGGCTCACTCTCTTTGTCAGTCCATATTTTACTCAGTAAGTATTGCAACCTGTGGAAAACCTGATCATCCTAAAGGAAATAAAAGAAAAAAAAAATAAAAGCCATATCCCTCTTAAGACAAAAGCAGGCATCCCTTCTTATATCCCCAGCTCAGCTAAGTCACCTGCTGCTTCTCACCTTGCAGAAAATGCAGTCCACTATAATGACCAAACATGACAATCACAAAACAAATAGAATCACAAAACCTTTCCATGCCTAATCAGTTGCAGAAATGGAAAAAAATTCCTTGAAATTTACTTACTGGCCGGACTTCCCCAGTGGTGTTGGTATACTGACGGGCCAGACCAAAGTCTAACATGTAGCACTTCCTGTATGTTGAAGGTAAGCGGCCCATGGCAAAATTGGACTAGACAAAGAAGGAGAGGAAAAAAAAATCAAATTAACACCAGCAACTTGGGTAAGATTGGCCATTGGTTAACAAAACTTTGCCATATAGCTCGACATGCCCCTGATGGAAACAAGTCAAAGAGATTCATTTTAAGATGCATCTTCAAAATCATGATTAGAGAATCATTGCCTTGTTAAGAAGTTCACTTCAGATAAGAGTCTGTGGAGTCTCAAAATAACTAAAATTCACATTAGCTTTGCTAAATTTCAGCTGTTCTGAGAAAGAGCTACACTTAACACCACTAGCTCTGCAGCGAGAGCTCCCTCACTTGCATAATAGGATGGAGTTACTGTAGACAAATGCTTCTGTTCATGGTTCAGCTGCTAGCACGCATTATTCTGCCCTAACTCCCAGAATCACCATCCACTGTATTGCATTGCCTGAATCTATCTGAACATTCGGGCATCTAAAAACCACTGGGTTTGCTTCTTAGTAAATAAACCAATAACAAGCGTATGGAGCAGCTCCTGGTTTTGACCTCGATCTTAAAGTTCTGTTCTTTACCATAATGGATGGGCGCTAAAGGATTTGTGGCCAATCACATCAGTGACTGACTTTCAGCTGAACTTGATCATTTAAAAGCAGCTGATTTTAAAAGGAGCAAACAAGTCTGCTGGAAGGAAGGCAGTCTTGGGTTTGGTGTAGCAACAACTGTTGAGGTCAAGTAGTGAAGAGCTGTAGGAAAAAGACTGGCTTCTACAGAGAGACTTGGAATTACTGTCCTTCACTTGGGCAGATGACCGACACTGTGAGTGTGTTTCTGACACTAGAAACTGTGCTCCAATTTTTTGGCAACTGCTCAGAAAGGATTAAGAGGATGATTTAGCTACGTCAAATGCACGAAATAGCATTTATTCAAGTGATGGGTCACAGAGCAAGACTTCCTTTCTGAACTCCTTTAACAGTAATAATTGGTCCAAATGAGTGTTCAGAACTAGACTGCTTCATCACGGGATAGTGACTGGTACAAGTATGACTGACAACAACCATGGAGCAGCCTCTGCCGATACAAGCTAGTTTGCTACGCACTTAAAGGAAGCACAATATTGTATTACTGTTTTGTACTTATAGAAAATAGCAAATGTGTCAGTGGCAGCGTGCAAGGAGACCTAAATGTATCTGCTGAGATCTGCCCATATTCAAACTGTCTTTATTAACTCATGCAGAACAGACAGACATACAAACAAAGGGAAAATTTCCAAAACTACATACAGGCTTGATGTCACGATGCAAGAATCCCACAGAGTGAATGGCTTCTATTGATTCTAGAATCTGTTTGCCTAATCGCAGCGTTGTGCTCAGCGTGAAAGTCCCTCGAGGCTGACTCCTTCTGAGATCTGCAAGATTTCGGCCCTGAAATAATCAATAAAACACTTAAACCATCCCATGAAAGCACAGCATTTCACAGCTTCAAGTGCTAACATGCAACCCCAAAGAATCAGACTTGCTACTCAGTCAGGTGCCCACCTTACATCTGCTTTATTTCTTGTATAAGATCTTCCAGTACTTCATTTTATCTTTTAATTGATGTATTTGCTGATAAGTCATCATTTGCTGGAAGTTATCTGATGTATTATTTGTGAAATAGGCACGGCATGGACCAGCAGTGCCTCAGACTGTATGAGACCAGCATCTCCTTACTGTTAAACTCAGACTATGCAGAAGCTGATTTAAGAACAACCTTCGTTCTAAAGATTAAAGCAGTACAAATTCGATAAGCAAGGCATGAAGCCACTATCTATTACAGCTTGCGGAAGCAGTTTCATCAGAAACTCCCTAGCACGCGCTGTCTGGTCCAAGCTCAAGCCAGCACTGTTGTGGCAACACCACAATGGGGAAAGTTGTCTTATCAAGAAAATCCTACCCAAAATCAGGAGAGGAGGATTTTTTCAGCAACTTCATACTTATTAAAAGAAATTGCTAATTTACCTCCACTTAAATAAATTTCTAGGGAAAAACAAAGAGGCTACTAGCTATGCATGGAAATGAAGACAATTCAGCAAAAGAAAAAAGAAAAAGGAAAAAACAACAGAGTAAATGCAAGAAAAATCCCAGTGTTCTAGTGATAATAGATGAATTCAAACAAAATTCCCAACAGAAAATATATAAAATATTCAAAACATTTGATGAGAAAACATACATTGCTCTTCAAAGCAGTGAAACGCCATCTATTCCATCCATTTCCAGTTCTCAAGTTATTTAGAGACATTAAGGTGTCAACTGCAATTGGCTCGTGAGGCTCTAGTCTCTCAAAGTGGTTTAATCCATGGGCTCTGGGTTCATTCAGGGCTCCGGACCCTTGAACAACCACACCTGACACAGATTCACTAACAGGTACAACCAAGCCCCAGCAGCTGGCCCAGGTTTGATCCTTAACATGAACAAAATTAGAGTAAGTCACTTCTCTAGCGCTTAACTTCTTAAATTTCTGTGGCAGTTTACTGGAGCCAGCAGAATTTTGTCATTGCTATCTTGAAACATTCAGGTTATTGAATTGACAGCAGATCTTTCTGTCCACTCTAAAGCTGTTCCTTGGACACCAGCTCTCTTAACCAATGGTAACATGGAAAGCAAGGCAGATTTTTTCAGAGCTGCACGTTAAAAATTTCCCCAGCTGGTTTTGTGAGATGGTTTTAGACATCTGCTCTCCAGAAACAACCCAAGGTATGTGAATATCCAGTACAACTACCAGGAAAAGACAGAAGATGAGTATTATTTTCCAAATAAACACCATCAGGCTGGCCAAGAAACAGAGCAGATGCAAGGAATTGCAAAGTTTAGAGAGGGAACCTCAGTCACAGTGACTGAAAAGAAAGGGAGAACTGCAGTGCACAGCAGCCAGAGGGACACACGATAAACCAGGTCTCAGCAGGCCTTGAAGCTGAAGAAGAATTTTAGCCTGAGGGGTGATAGTGCAAAACTAGCTAATGCTTTATGTATCAACGTCTTCATTTGCAAATAGTGAAATTATTTTTAGGTCTGCCTACTCTACGTGCTCAGTTACATAGCAAAAGAACAGGCTAGAAAGTAAAAGAATCCATGCAGAGAAGTTTTTTGCAAAGGTAAAGATCCTTTTATTGTGCTTGTTAAGGACAGGATTGGGGGGTTAGAAACCTTGTTCTTCCATGAGCTCCAGATTAGCCCTTTCAGGAATCATATTCACACTCACACTGCAGCAGTAGTAATAGCCAGGACTGTTTAATAATAACAGCAGTTGGGATGCCAATGGTGCATAAAAGAAAAACCCAAGCACCAGGAATTTACTGGGTTTATATGTTTTATATGCCTTGCTATAAAACTATATTTTGAACTATACTTAAAAAAAATTAGAAGTTTATTTTAAAGAAGTACTGAGTCTGCTGGTATCCATTTTACTTCCTCTACTGTCTAGCAGTAGGGTCACCATGTGGTAGCTACCCAAGTATTCACCCATATTGATTTAATATCAGCAGTGTTCAAGCAGGAGTAAACACTTCCACAGCAAAAGCCAAGCTACTGCTGATCTTGGGAGAGACAGGGGAGACAGAGATCACGGCCTTTCATAGAGGAACTGCTGCTCGTGTGACACCACTGGCTCTCACCACACTCCACGCTCTGATACAAGACACGTTTTGAATGCTGCCTCACAGTGCTCAGCAGGAAATATTTCAAACAGCTGTCATGCTGCACAATACTCTGGATTGCTCCTGGAAGCATTCTGAATGGAGTGCTTTTCCCAGAAAGCTGACAGAAAGCCATCTCAAATAGAATAGCAGAGCTATGAAATATGTTAGTGCATCTTGACAACTGGAGCCATCCCAACGGATGTCACAGCAACACCACCCCTTCTCCTCGTCTCCCATTCCACCCTATTTCTGTGTACAACAAAGTCTTCAGATCGGTGTTTGGCCTTATTCTCTCACTGCAAATCCTTCGCTGTGATGCCATCTCTAAGGGACAGAAGGGAGAGGTGAAGAGCAGAACTCACCTGAAGCTGCATGACCACATAATTGAATTTTTCATTTCTTCCACAGCCAATAAATCTGCAAACATGATCCTTCCCTGAAAAGAAACAGAAACATACAGAATGGAACTAAGACAACAATCCTGGGATGACTTTTAGAAAAATGGTTTCTGACCCAGGTCTGGTAACCATAAAGCAGTATCACATAAGGAGTCTTGCAGAACAGACTGATTATGTTTCTCCTTCCCAGTCTCATAGCTAAGTAGAATATTGACATTCAACAAGAAAGCTGCCCATGACATGGCCATGAGTGGAAATCAGTGTCAGGGTTCCTCAAATCCTCAAACTGACAAAGGCCACAAGTGGGAGTGTGACAAACTGCAGTTTGTACCACCAGCACGTGTATGCAACAACACCACAGCTGCCACCATCCCTGAACTGAAGTGTGGGTAACACACATGACCACAGGGCCTCACAGGTTCACTGGCAGCACAGCTCAACTTTACTCAGTAAATGCTGACTTGTACCACCACTACACCTGCCCATTAGCACTTCTTACCCTGAAACAGCTAATCTAATGTTACTTCAACATGGACAAACCCTGATTTTAATAGTCAGAGACATCTGGAAAAGAAAGATACTTATGGAAAATTTCCATTGAAACATTCAAGCAATTCCATAACAGCAGAAGGAAATAATATAAGCAATTCTGTGTCAAGTTCTGGCATGGTGTTACTACACTACACCTATTCAGGCAAAATCAAACTAAATCAGCCACCCCACAATACTAAGCTAGTCCTCAGTGGGGGAGCAGAGGCTGTGGTTTTAGACCCTGACCTGGAATGGATTTGTGATGGTTTGCTCTCTGGATTATCAGAAGGGGAAGTATGAGGCATGTGTTCCCCTAAAAACAGACTGCTGATAACAGAGCAAAGGTTGATGCACATCTTTGGTGAATGCTTGGTTCCTGGGGGGGTTTCTAAGCAGGGAAGGGGATGAGAATCACTGAATAGCTTTGCCCTATATATCTCTGTAGCACTTGAGCAATGGTGATTTTTAAACCAAAGCTTATTGTTTGATACTTCTCAATTTTAAATAAAAAAAGGAAAAACACGAACACATACAGTAATCAGTAACTGCAATGCCTGTAAACACCCTCAGGGCCCCACTACTGCTGTCATTGCACCATAGGTCTGGGGCATCAGGAACCACTGGGACAGCAAGATACGACAGAATAGGGATGTGGAGGGCAGCAGGAGACAAAGAAGCAGCTTTCTCACTGGAGGACCAGAGCTTTGACCAGACCAATAGATACAGCTGTGGAATATGGAGCTTCATCTCAGGACTCCTGGTAAAAGCATCAAGATCCTGCCCCCCGGGGCCCACCAGCATCCCACAGCAGAACACCCACACTCTGTCTCCTACCCCAAGGAGGTAACAGAGCTGCCAGCAACCAGAACTGGAGGGACAGAGACCTCAACTACTCCTTAATCCTTTCAGAAGAACAGGTTTAAAACAAACAAATCAACCAATCCTAATATCCACCAACATCTGGTTAGATGAACGGGAAGGTTAGGTGTTTGCAGAGCCTTCGTGTCTCTGGCATGGACATTATCCAGTTTCAGGACTGAATGTGAATGACCATGCTGAAACCACCAAGGAATGTCACAAACCACCGTATTTCAGGAAAAGATATTCACAGATTAGGAGAGTACCCTCTTCAGTACCTGTCAGGGCAGCCTGCATGCTTCTTCCCTGATCCTCGTTTCTCACATAACAAGCCCACGGCCTGTGTGTGCCCATGGCTACTGGGTGCCACTGTTTTCCCACTATTGGCAACTTCATTGTGAATTCAGTGTTGGTTTTGACAAACAGGTTTTTGGTTTTCTGAGGGAACTCCTTGAGACACTGTGGAAACAGCACATGTCCTGCCCTGGGCATTACCAAGACTCAACTATCCCACACATCTTCCTGCCATGGGTCCCAATATGCTGCTTGCTGGCGTGAAGGGACCCTCAAAGCCAGATTTGTGGCTACAAAGTCAACGTATCTGAATAACCTCAGAAAGAGCCAGTTACGTTTCTTTAGGAGCTCATGCTAGTTCTGTGCTTCAGCAAACTGGCCGTCTACACAGGTTTAAGGCAGGATGGGCAGGTCAGTGCAAGCCCACACTCAAACCAGACGATTCTCAGATTTGCACAGATCAGCCTGGCTTACTTAAAGACACTGTGAGTCCCAGTTGGCTTTGTTTGCCTTTCAGACCACCAGGAGATGGATACTGAGGCAACAGGCAAAACAATGACTGTTTCTAGTTACAGTGCAAGGTACTGTGTGGTAAAAACTGGTAAAATAGTAATTTTTTACTATTTATTGTTTTAGATGATTGCAGAGCACTGATAGGCAGGACACCATGTGCATTTTTATTACTGTAAAACTACAGACAACATTAAAAACCAACCTTCTGACAGGTAGAACCTGGCCATCTAAATCACTAATTTCTGCAAAACAGGAATGATTGAATCCAATGATATGACTCAAAACACATCCTTGCTGATTTGATACTTCCTCTTGTGATTTCAAATGTATTTCTGAGACCTTTTGGTTTTGGTTTTTTGTGGTTTTGTTTTGTGTTTTTTTAATCAAGTTTCCTCCATCGCACTTTTGTTTTCTGGATCACACAATTTTACCAAAAGAAAAAGCATTTAAGTTTTTAGTTTATTATCTTTGAGAATTGTTTGCATGTTTAGGATGGCAACATGTTTCCACTTTCTATAATTTTTTAAAATGATGACTGACAGTTCTGGATGACGTGCATGCCAAACTGACTTGATTTTATACTGAATCCTCCTTTCCAGCTTAAAATGGACTCAGACCTGACTTGTTGGTCTTGGGAATTTAGGCTCTCTCTGGAACAGCTCTCCCATGCACTATCCTGCAACACAAGCAACACCAGGAAAACAAGAAGAAAGGGAGTGAGGGAAAACTGTGCCAATTTCTGCACATAATAAAAAGAGTATAACCAAGTGTAGAGAAAGCAGGCCATATTTAGAAGTAGTGCATATACAGCCAGCTGGTCATATAGATGGGATAAATGCTTGCAGCATCAAACCCTTTGGGTTTGGGAAGCTTTTACCCATCTTTCGTCTAAAGGAGGCAGCAGATTACAACTGTTTGCTCTCTTGGAACAGTTCCTGCCATGTTGAAGTAGCAGATGGAGGCTGACAGTCAGGTGTGACTTAGGGATTCCTGCAGATCAGTCCTGAGGCTGATCAGAACACTGAAGCACACAAGAACAATCGTGTTAATAACCTCCTGTGCAGCCAGGATGATGGAACTGTCATATTTCCCTTTAAGGCAGCAGGAAATAGCTCCCTCTTCCCATACATGCTCTCCTCAACCATGGAGATAATAGCACAGAGCATCAAAGCACATTTTAACCCAGAAAAGAAAAAAAGGGGGGAAAAAAGGTTTTCTCAAGTATGAGAAAGCCTCACAACTATTTTACTGCACTAACTGCTACATGACACTCGCTCCTTTGCTAGACTGTTCTGCTCAACAGCCACCCTGATATTACAGAGGATCAGAAGTTATACCATAGAAAATATGCTCTATATCTGTATTTGTTTATTTCTTAAACCATATAAATATCTTCCAACAAAGTAAAGGACAGAGCAATAGTTCATAAAGAGTTTTGTCCTGTTAACTAACATTGGAGGAATAAGTCAGCCTGATGCTCACCTGAGAAAAGTTTCAGAGCGTTTTGTTTCGCACGCATTCAGTTAAGGCAAAATTTTAATGTTCGGCCATAGGAAAATATTCTTTCTACAGCTGTCTTTTAACTACAATGAACATAATAATCTCTCACATAATATTGGCTAAGAATTACAAATATTTCAGTCACTGAAATGGTCTTCACCATCCTTGTTCTGATGAAACTTAAAAATTACAGTCAGTAATTATGTTCTCATGTATAAAAATAACTTCAAGTATTTGGAAATCCCTTCCACCCTAGGATAGATACTCATCACCTTGTAGAGATATGATTAAAAGCCCCATTTTAATACTTTAAAACTTTCATTACATGAAAAACTATCATTAAACAGAACTTAAGAAAACTAAATTATGATCCTTTTTTGAGTCTATTTTTCCCCATGGATCAATTTTAATTGCTGAACACCAATATTCATTCCAATCTTCTACTCTGTAAGTTCTTAAATATTCTTCATGTATTTTCAATATAGAAATGAAACTAATAAAATAAATACTAGGAAAGAAATATGTGACATTATCTGCAATTTAAAGCTGTTTTTTTTTGTTACAGACTCCATACTTCCTGTGTTTTCACCTGCAGAAAACCAGTAACTGCTCTTCACAAAGGAGTTAAAAAATTTAATCTTTTTATTTTATGCTAAAATTTTGCGATTCTTCTCCATTGATTAGCTATCTCATTCCTAACAGTCCACCCAAAACACTAAAGTAACTTCTGCTGTACGGACTATCACAAATTTCAGTACAGTTGTTACTCTTACTGCTGTTACCTTCCCGGTTCTTGCATTTTCTCCTGCACAAGACCAACACTGACATAACAGCAGGAATTCACCAGTGCCCACCAGGACGGTGGCAGGGAAAGGAGAATGTAACATTAACAAAAAGTATCAAGAGCATTGGGTTTGTTCAGCCTTTAGGAAGGCAATTGTTTTTCTCAGGTTTTATTCCTCTTTTACTTTTTGTTATCTCCCTTTTCACTGCTACTATTATTGCTATTATTTCAATTAGCAAACTGCTCCCATGTCACCCCACGGGTTTTACATTTTTCCACTTCTCCTCCCCATCCCACTGGAGCAGGGGAGGGGTGAGCAAGCACCCCTGAGGTACTTAGTTCCAGGGGAGGTTAACCCAGGACAGAGGCACACAGAGCAGCACTGGACATGAGCTGCAACATGGGAAGTTCCCACTAGGGTGTGATTTCTTTTTCCCTCATGAGGATGGTCAAACCCTGGAATAGGGACCCAGAGAGTCTGTAGGATCTCAATCTTTACAGATTATCCAAAATTTCACCAGAAAAAGCCCAGAGCAACCAGATCTATTTCTTTTCTGC